TCCCAGGCTTGGACCGGGGACAGACACAGCCTGGTCTCTCTCCTGAGTCTTAATCCTCTGTTTCCTACTCTCGGTGATTTAATGCAGTCTGAAAGGGAACATTCTTTCTTACACAGTTTTGAGTTCTGTACAAGCTTTGGACAAGTTTTTCAGTTGTCATTGAGATGTAGAGTAATTGTTAAAAAAGGAAATTAAACACTGAAATAACAGAGCCTGTTCTTTAGCTTCCTTTATGGAGTCCACCCAGCGCAGAGAGCTTTTATATGAAGTTTGAGCAAGCAGGAGCTCAGATTTCACTCGATACTGGTTGTGTTATGAAAATAGATGTCATTTAGTTCAGTGCTGAAGAATGTACAAATTCATTTTGAATGCATTTATGCAACAGACTGTAACCATGAAGTTAGGTGGTGTTGTCAGCAAATTCAGACCTATGTATATACTGTAGGTTTTTGTTAACCTTTTCAGAAATGGTAGCATATTCACCTGTAAAAACAGGGAGGCACTCATACTGTATATGCAAAGTACTGAGCAGAGAGATAAAAGTTATTTATTGAGTTTTTCCTAAAATGTATCCAGTTTCTTCTTTCATATTTTCATTTGCTTCTCATTTGTATGCCTGTTTTTACTGCAGTGTTTTATCCTCCTAGCTTTCCAAGCTTCCTTTTGGCACATGCTGCTCACAAATGCTGCCTACAAACCACATAAATGGTGACGTCTGCTCTGAAATGTCAATTTCACTGTTTAGTGAGCCCAGTGTCTCTGTTCAGCAGAAATACATAAGGTCAACAACATCTTTATTGTTTCATCAAGTATAGTGACATTCAAAATGAGTTCTCATTGACTGGGTTAGGTGAACACCTTTTGCTACTTAATGTTTCATAGTGCCTTACTGTGTCTGTGGGCTTGCGCCATTGCTTGTATTATGTTTTCGGGTTGTGTGTCCATCCGTCTGCTCAGATTTGGCATAAGTGTTCAGTTGGACTCAAGGATGACCTGATTAGAGTTTGATGGCCACAGGTCAAGGCCAGTGACCTCATGTCTCTCCCTTTCCTGTGATTTTGACTGGTTGGGAGAGACTGCAAAGCAATAATTCTGTTTTTAATGTTTTGTTTTTTCCTGTCCACACAAACATTTGGGGCAAACATTTTATAATTTGTTCACTGTGACAACCCATTTCTAGCTTAATGTCAAGTGAGGGTCAAAATGGAAAGAAAAAGATTTAGCTAACTTAGTGTGAGCGTAGTCTCAGTGTCAGGTCCGCTCGGCACGTCCTGCCTCTCTTCCGCCTTTCTCTCCTCTGCTCTCTTGATCCTGCGGGATCTGCACCTCAGCTGTGTTGCTTTCAGTAATTAGCGACTCGTTTGTCGGTGCACACAGCTGGGGTGCATGCCGATGATTACCTTCCACCTTAGTTATACCTCTGGCAGACACTCCATCGCTAACGGAGCATTAACGTGTATTACTTTACCTAATGTGCATACCCCGTAACAGCCCTTTATTCGTGGTATGTATAAGACGTATTTTTGTTTTCCATGCTGACAGGTCCTGTGCTGTGGATTTCAGTTTTTACATGCTTTATGTTGTTTTGTGTTATATGTACCTAGAATTCAATGCTGACAGGTCCTGTGCTGTTGTTTTCTTTGGTCGTTAGCCACCCTCTTATTTTTTTCACTTATCCGTCTTCGTCATCCTCCTCTCCTGGTTTTCTGCCGTTAGCTTGTCTAGTTCTCCTGGTCATCCTGGTCTCCTCCACCATCTCTGTCGCTGGTTTCTTTACATGAACTCTGATACGTTTTGTTGTTACTTTGTGTTTTTGTTCCATTAAACCTCCTTTTGTTTAACTAGCACCTGGGTCGGCAATCTTGAGTCCAACCTCAGTTCTCCCTCACCCTCCTGGTGAGG